ATAGATAGATAGATAGATAGATAGATAGATAGATAGATAGATAGATAATTCTCTACGTCTATGATCTCTCACCTATCTATCTATTCTATCTACTTACCTACCTACTACCTCTCTCTCTCTCTCTCTCTCTCCATCCATCCATCCATCCATCCATCTATCTATCTATCAATCTATCTATCCTTCCTCACATCGTTGTGGGAGTGTCATCACTGGAAGCTTTCAGTAAGAGACTCTGGACATCCATTTGTCCAGAATGGTCTACGGTCTCCTGCTTGGGTGGGAGGTTGGACTAGATGACCTACAAGGTCCCTTCCAATTCTGTTATTCTGTATTCTGTCTTTATTGCTCTTCTCTGCCCTCTTTCTAGAATCTCAGCCTTAAAAGGCACAATAAATCTGCTTCCCTCAACGGAGGACTTGAAAAAACCAAGGAAAGCAGAAATTACCTCTCTAGGAGAGAGAATCTCTGTCCTCCTTTAAGTCTCTGTGCTGCCCTCCCTCCTATCACTGCAGGGCTGGCTGGGGAATCCTGGGAGCTGAAGGGCTCCAAGTTGGAGAGGCCGGCTTCGGGGGACGTGCCTGATTGAAACCCCCAGGCCTCCAGTCAAGGGGACGGGTGGGATTCAAAACTTTTTACTACCGGTTCTGTGGGCGTGGCAGGGGAAGGATATACTGCAAAATCCCCCTTCCCTCCCCACCCCACTGACCTGCTTTACAGCTCCGTTCTCCTGTGCAGGGCAACCAGCCAATCAGCTGGGACTCAATGGGGGGCGAAGAAGACATGGGGGCGGGGCCAATCAGTGGTGGCATTGGCTGGTTCTCCAAACTACTCCAAATTTCCGCTGCCAGTCAAAACCTGCTGAATGCCACCTCTGGATGGGAGTTGTAGTCTGTGTCAAGGCTCCAACATGCACCCCCATTCAAATCCTAAGTCTCTAGCCGCATCTCTTAGAGTAAAAAGAAATGATTTATTAGGAGTGACCATGTCGGTGTTACCTGGGTGCAGCCGACTCTAAGACGCATCATTCATTTCCCCCTTGACCCTGGTCTTCCCCCCCACCCCCTGGATGTATATTCTCCAGTGGAACACATCCATAGCCAAGAGCCATCAAATATGCTCTCCAGTAATAATCTTGCGTGCCAACAGAATTATCTGAGGCATTTAAGGAATGCCCTGCTTTCCCCTACTCCCTTTCTGCTGGCCGCTAAAAAGATCACAGGAGTATTTTTAGTTGACAGTCCGCCCTGTGGGGGAAACAGGAATTGATGCTGTTCTGTTTTTCCTCTCCTCGCCAGCTTTCAACGTCACCCTCCAAAGTGACCGCCAGGGCATGTGCCGGGGCACCCGCCCCATCCAGGCTTGCGTGGGGTACTGCGAGTCCAGCGCCTTTCCCTCCAAGTATTCGGTGCTCCTGGCCAGCAGCTTCAAGCACAACATCACCTCCGTCTCGCAATGCTGCACCATCAGCCGAATGCAGACGGTGAGAGAATTCCGACTCGGCTGGTTCCGAGCTTTTGTCCTCTCCGGAAGCGGAAGGAAATTATACACGTAGTCCTCACCTTGCAAGAGTTTGCGCGGCGACCGTTTCAAACAATGGCGCTGAAAAAAGCGACTTAGGATCGCTTTCCACACTTGTGACCATTGTGACATCCAGGGGTGGGGTTCAATTTTTTTAACAACCGGTTCTGTGGGCGTGGCTAGGTGGGTGTGGCTTTTTTTGCAGCACACCCCCCCCCCTTTTTTTGCCTCCTGGGCCTTAGGCCGGCCTCCGGGGGGGGGGGGGCGTTTTTGCTCCAGGAAGGCTTCCCTGAGGCCCAGGAAGGGAAAAAATGGAGTGGGGGGGGGGGACACAGCGCCCCCCCCACCCCCCCGCATGCCCCTTTTTGCCTCCTGGGTGAAGACAGTGAGGGGGATCCCGGCACAGCCGATCATTGGAACAGCTGATTGTTGGGAGGGAGGGGAAAAAAGAAACCCCTTAAGGAGTGACTGGACGGGGGAGAACACAGTCAGCGATGTCGGGCTGACTGGGTGGGGAGGGGAGGAGTGGGGAGGGGCCGGGCTACCCAGAGGCACAATTTGTGGTTCTCTGTGCAGAATCATAACAACTGGTTCTATAGAACCGGTCCGAACCGGTAGAATCCCAGCCCTGCTGACATCCCCATTTGTCACGGGATCAAAATTCAGATGCTTGGCAACTGACTCATATTTATGACGGTTGCAGTGTCCCAAGGTCACGTAAGTCCCCTTTTTGCGACCAGCAAAGTCAATGGGGAAGCCAGATTCACTTAGAAACTTCACAACTGCAGCAATCCACTTTACAACTGTGGCCAAAAACTTCCTAAATGGGGCAAAATTAACAGAATAGAATAGAATAAGAATAGAATAGAATAGATTAGAATTAGAATAGAAATGCAGAATAAAATACAGAATAGAATAGAATAGGATTAGGATTAGGATTAGGATTAGGATAGGATAGGATAGGATAGAATAGAATAGAATAGAATAGAATAGAATAGAATAGAATAGAATTAGGATTAGGATAGAATTAGAATAGAAATGCAGAATAAAATACAGAATAGAATAGAATAGAATAGAATAGAATAGAATAGAATAGAATAGAATAGGAGAATATATAGAACAGAATAGAAATACAGAATAAAATACAGAATAGAATAGAATAGAATAATGTAGAATAAAATAGGAAAATATATTGAATAGGATGTACAATAGAATAGAATAATGTAGAAGATAACAGAACAGAATACAATACAGCTGGAAGGGATCTTGGAGGTCTTCTAGTCCAACCCCCTGCTCAGGCAGGAAACCCTACGCCATTTCAGATATTGGTTTCTAATCTCTTCTTAAAAACTTCCAGCGTTGGAGCACCCCAACTTCTGGAGGCAAGTTGTTCCACTGATGTCTCACTTAATAGCAGAAATTTTAGGCTCAATTCTGGTCGTAAGTGGAAGACTACCTGTAATATGGAATTCTGGCTGCTTATACCGGTAGTCCTCAACATATGATCACAACCGAACCTAAAATTTCTGTTGTTAAGTGAGACATTTGTTAAGTGAATTTTGCCCTATTTTAATTGTTAAGTAACCTGGTTCTTAAGTGAATTCTGGCTTCCCCATTGACTCTGCTGGTCAGGAGATCGCAAAAGGGTCGCACCATCATAAATACGAGTCAGTTGCCAAGCGTCTGAATTTTGATCTCGTGACCCCGGGGAGGCTGCAATGGTCATAAGTTGTGAAACACCATCTGTTGTAACTTCAAATGGTCACTAAGTGAACTATTGTAAGTCGAGGACTATCTATATCCTTGACTTAGGATCCTTCATTTAACCACCAATCAAAGTTACAACAGCCCTGAAAAAAAGTTGAATTCCAACCAGTCCTTTTAACAATGGTGGCAAAAGGTCACAAAATGGGGCAAAACTCACTTCACCAACTTGTCTTGCTTAGTGATGGAAATTCTGGATTCAGTTGGGGTCGTATGTCGAGGACTCCCTGTAACAGTCTAAGTGTCAGGATTCTGGCAGTTACCCCCCATTAAAATCATGAGTCTCGAGCCAAACTTCCAAAACTTCAGAAGGATTTATTGGGAGTTGTGATGACCCAAAGGGGCGTGACACAAAACTAACCAAGTCACAAAAATAGAAGGAAGTCCCTTTAATGCCTCCAACTTGGTCCCAATGTCCAATTATCCTCGGCTGAATATCAAACTCTTAAAGAAAACAGTTTAGGGAGTAAATGCAGTCCGCATCCAAAGTAAAATTAATTCAAAAAAAAAAAAAAAACCCAACAAAAACCGCACTGAAAGAATTACTATGGCAGGCAAGAATGATTAATTGCAGCCTTCTACCAGATAACCAGCAACCACAGTTGGGAGGAAGCCAAAAAACAGATAAGCTCCAACAAGAATGCAGGCTTTGCTTCCAGCACCTTTGCCATGCAGTTTGTCCTTTTAACCAGTCCTCCCAGCTGCAGCCTATGAAGGGGATCAGGGCCCCTTCCTCTCCCATAGACCACGCCACTCATGTTGCTCCCTTATCCATTCCTCCCTGCATGCCCTAGGATGAAGAGGCGGTGGGCTGAGGTCTTCCTCTGAATGCCCAGCCAGCCTGTGCCCTTCCCCAGTTTCCTCCACAACCACCGGAGCCCGCTCCCACTCCCTGCCAGCTCTTCCATTTCTCCCTCGGAGTCAGACTTCAACAGGGGCATGACAGGAGTTAACATGGTGGCACTACCTGGCTGTAGCCGAGTCTGACACACATCATTCACTGTCACCCTTGACCCTGGTTTGCCCCCCCACCCGTCTGGGTGTATCGTAATTAATATTCTCCAATAGGACACATCCATAGCTAAGAGTCATCAATCATGCTTTCCAGTTAGATATTTGCACAGCAGAAACTTTAGTCACCTAGTTACTATCTTTGAAAACATTTATGGAATGCACTTTCGGTTTTGCAAGCTGCCGCACTGCTCCCCCCTCGCTTTCTGTTGGCAACTCTAAAAAGACCAGATAAATATTTTAGGAGTTGACACTAAGCAGCCAGAATTCCGTATGACAGGTAGTCCCTGACTTACGATCACAATTTCTGCTGTTAAGTGAGACATTTTAAGGAAGGCAGGACCAAAAGTTAAAAAACCAAAACCAAACCAAAACATGGGGGTCTTCTGATCGGGTGCGCAAAGCTGCAGCCCTGTTGCATAGCGATTGTTGAGTGTACCGGGTGCCAATTGTTGTCCATATTTTACAGTTTTGCAGGTGCAAAGAAAGTGCGGGATGATATCACGGATGTCAAATGATGGGGTTTTATTTTTTGGCGTTGTTCCTCTCCAGGTGAAACTCCGGCTGCGTTGCCATCTCGGTTTGCAGAAAACAGTGGACATTTTTACTGCCAAGACCTGCCAGTGTGACGTGTGCCGCCTCTCCAGATATTGAAGCTCTTTTCTGATGATTTCTGCAGCCACCAACAAGGTCCGTTGTTTCTCAACGTTGACAACTTTTAAGATGCGCGGACTCCCAGAATTCTGGGAGTTGAAATCCGCACATTTTAAAGTTTGCCAAAGTTGAGAAACACGGAACCAAATGGATCTTCTACAGGCCGTGTTTGCCACTGTCCTTGCGCTGAAATGGCCCGTTTGTGTTTAAAAAAGAGAGATGCTTTTAATTCTGTAAGAAATTACAAGGGAATTTCTGTGTATGAGGGAAGCCACGTTGTGTGTGGAATCCCCTGAGTGCCTGGGGTAACTTGGCTGTGGAATACATTCTGTTTTTTTTTTTTTTTTACAATGTGTGTTTTGGTTTTTGCCTTTTTTGTTGATAGGTTTCAATGGTTGGGCGCTGCTTAACAGAAGGGAGGAAGGGACGGAGGGAGGGAGGAAAGAAGGAAGGAGGGAGGGAGGAAAAGAGGGAGGGAGGGACAGTAGAGAGAAGAAAGGGAGGGAAAAAAGGGAGAGAAGAAGGAAGGAGAGAGGGAGGGAGGGTGGAAAGGAGGGAAGACAGAAAAAAGGAAGGAAGGCGGGAAGAAGAAAGGAGAAAGGGAGGGAGAAAAGGAAGGAATGGAGGGAGGAGAGAAAGAGGGAGGAAAGAAGGAGAAAGGAAGGAAGGAGAAAAGAAAGGAATGGAGGGGGCACAGGAGGAGGGAGGAAGAACAGAAAGAGGGAGGACAGAAGGAAGGAGAAAGGAAAGGAGGGAGAAAAGGAAGGGAGGGAGGGAAGAAGGAAGGAGAAAGGAAGGGAGAAAAGGAAGGGAGGGAGGAAAGAAGGAAAGGAAAAGGAAGGAATGGAGGGAGAAGTGGGGAGGGAAGGAGGGAGGAATGAAGGTAGTTTCTGACCCTAAAAAAAAAGGCCAAATTAAATGCACCATTTATGGGACACTTTTTCCTAAGGGACTGTGTGAACATCCATCCATGTCAATCCCCAGAGACACAGCCAATACACTCCATGTCACATTAGGGAGGTGAGTTGTAGCAGCACAAAATATTCACTAGCTGGGCCTTTTAAAGGGCGTTTTTGCTGGGAACCTTCATGCAAGAGCCAGTCACACAAAGAAGGGAATTTCCCCACTGATGCTGAAATATTGGAATTCTTCTTTCTCCTAGAATCTTAACATTAAGACAACCGAGGCAGAATCCAGCTCACTTTTCAGGTCATCTTTCCAAACCGACCCTACATCTATCCAGAGGGATCTCGGGATCTTCAGTCAGACCAGAAATGCTTTAAGCAGCCTCCATTAAGGGTAAAAAAACAAAAACCAAAACACCAGGGATTAATTTTAGCTTTGCCCTATAAAAAGCAAAAATGGCTGAATCGATTCAGAAATGGCAAAGAGGCTTTTAAAACGAACCTGATTTAACCTCTTTTGCTCAAAGGTAAATCATGGCTGAAGCATCTTTCATCGGTCGGCCCTTCCAGGCTGTGTTCCCAAGTGGGAGCAGGGCAACGTGATTCTCAAACAAGGCTTTGGACATTCAGAAGCACAAAAGACACAAACTTTTGCTATGCGGTTCTCGAAAACTGATTTTAGTGACATCAGGCTCAATAGCAGTAGCTGTGAGAGGGATCTTGGAGTCTTAGTGGACAACCAGCTAAATAGGAGCCAGCAGTTTGCAACAGCAGCCAAAAAAACCAATGCAGTCCTCAGTTGCATTAACAGAGGGACACAATCAAGATCAAGGGAGGTATTAATACCACTCTGTAAAGTCTTAGTAAGGCCACACCTAGAGTACTGCATCCAGTTTTGGTCACATTATAAAAAAGAGGTTGAGACTCCAGAAAAAGTACAGAGAAAAGCAACCAGGATGATGAGGGGACTGGAGGCTCAAACATACGACAACAATTGATCCGCAACATTTCTGCTAAGTGAATTTTGCCCCCTTTTTTGCATCAGTTAAGAGAATCACCCCAGTCGATCACATGAGTAATTACATGGTTGTGAAGTCGATCCCTGTTGACTTTGCTGATCAGGTGGTCACGAAAGTTGATCACGTGACCTTGGGACACAGCCACGGTCATAAGTATGAACCAGTGGCCAAGCACTTGACTTTTGATCACATAACCATGGGGTCGTAACTGTGAAAAAATGGGTCCTTTTTTCAGTGCCCTGGTAACTTTGAACGTTCACTAAACGAACGGTTGTAAGCCAAGGACTACTAGTTGTTCCAAATTGCACGAAAAGCTTCAATAGGGTGGGGTGCCATTTTCTATTCAGTGTCATTTCCACCTGTTGTGAGTATTGAAATAGCCTTTTTTTTTTTTACAAGCGCTTTAACAGTAAAGAGGGCCGGGCATCTAGGACTCCTTCGCTTCAAACAGGCTACAGCTGGCCATCGTCTCATCTCCATTTTATGCTGGCTGGGCACTTCTGGGAATCAAAGCCCACCCATCCAGGCTAGAGGAAAGAAGAATTAGGGGGGGGGCATGAGAGCAGCGTTCCAGGATTGGAGGGGCTGCCCCAAAGAAGATTTGGGGCTCAGCTTATTCTCCAAAGCACCAGAAGGCAGGACGAGAAATAACGGATGGAAACTAACTTTCTGACAGTGAGGACGATTAACCAGTGGAAGAAGCCTTAGTAGACGGTCCCTTAAACACGAGCTAGCCATGTGGGGCGGCAGCCCCAAAAGTTCATACAATCCCTGGTTGTATAAACAGAGGCATAGAATCCAAATCATGTGAAGCTTTAGTACCTCTTTATCAAGCCTTAGTAAGGCCACACTTGGAATATGGCATCCAGTTTTGGTCACATTACAAAAAAAGATGGTGACACTTTGGAAAAAGGGCAGAGCAATTCAGATTAATTAAGGCCTGGAGACTAAAATACAGGAGGAAATGGCTCCAGGATTGGAGTCTGGCCAAATAAAAGAAGAATTAGGGGTGACATGAAAGCAGACTTCCAAGATTTGAGGGGCTGCCCCAAAGAAGAGGAAGGGGTCCAATTATTCTCCAAAGCAGCAGAAGGCAGAACAAGAAGCAACGGAGGGGAATTAATCAAGGAGAGAAGCAGCCTGACATTCAGGGGAAATTTCCTGACAATGAGAACAATTAACCAGAGGAACTGCTGGCCACCAGAAGTTGTGGGTGCTTCATCACTCGGAGGCTGGACAATCACCTATCTGGACTGGTATAAGGTGGCTAACCTTTTTGGGCTCCTGTGCCAGCACCCAGAAGGCAATGCACGCCCCCTATGCATGCGTGTGTAATCCCCCCGAAAACTAGCCCCGTTTCGTCACTTCCTGTTTTTCCGAAAATCCCGGAAGTGAGGGAACGGGGTTAGTTTTCAGCCTGCAAAGCCTGCAGAAGCTTTCCTCAATTCTCTGGGAGACCAAAAAAGGCCTCAAACCGGCTGAAAATGAACGGTGAGGCGCGCACATGCCCAGTGAGGTAAGTTTGCCTGCAACTCGCAGGCCGGCCGAAAAGGCTTTGCGTGCCCCCCTGTGGAACACTTGCCGTAGGTTCGCCATCATGGGTATAGGGTCTCCTTCTGGAGCAGGGGGCTAGACTAGAAGACCTCCCAGGTCCCTTCCAGCTCTGAAACCACCCTACGTTTTTTGAAAGTCTGACAGACCCTTCTCTGCAGCCTTGAGTGATGCCCCTGCCCCACCCACCCTGGACCCACAGCCGACCCCACAGCGCTTGGGACATGAAACTTTCTCTTTATTGAATACAGAGTCGTCCAGCAAAAGGAACACGGGGAAAGTGGGAAGGTTTCGTGACCAGGAAACTATTCATAAATAGACTCGACCCTCCCCACCCACCTGCCACCCCCCCCCCCCACAAAATCTCTCTCTTGCACCCCCCCCCCAGGTCTACCCTGCTAGCCCCACTTTGACCCTCCCCTGGCCCTCCCCTCCAGCGCTTTTGGGGGGGGGGTCTTCTCCTGTGAAAACTACAGCGGTGGGGTATTATTACTAAAGTCCGATTATATAGGAGAAGAATCTGATCCGAATGTTTGCTAAAAAAATAAAACTGCCATGAAAGCTGTTGCCCCCCGTTTCCCCCTCCCCACCGAGGGTCTGTTTTTGGGTACCAAGACCGTGTGGAGATGGTCATGCCCAGAGGGAGGGGAGGGGGTGTTTTACCTCGCACTCCTCACCTCCCTCACATGTAGACTCTTACACACACACACACACACACACACACAAACACGCAACCTTCGGTGGAGAGAAAAACACGTCAATCTGGAGGGAGAATAGGATGTCAGCAGTCAAAAATTGGGGTGGGTGGGAGAGAAGCTATCATGCCAGCTGCAGCCATAGCCTGGCACTTAAAATTAGGATTGGGGGGGGGGTCCTTGGTGCTCTCTGAGCTGGTTTTCTTGCAGACCCAATGAGGGAACTTCATCAGTGCATCTAACATTAAAAAAAAGGCGAATACAATCCTTGCGGAGGGGGTGTACACAGAAGCACAGAATCAAAAAGCAGGCGAAGTGTTAGCACCACTTTGTAAAGCCTTAGTTAAGGCCACACCTGGAAGACTGTGTCCAGTTTTGGTCCCCCACCTTACAAAAAGATGTTGAGTCTTTGGAAAAAGTACAAAGAGGAAGTAAGATGACCAAAGGCCTGGAGACTAAAAGGTGTCAGCCTTCAAGACTCCTTTCCTTTCTCTTGCTATCTTTTTGGCTGCCATAGTAACGGGGGGGGGGGGGGGGGGGGGTGAATTAATTGGGCTTTGTGGAGGTGGGAAGTGTGCTGGAGGCTTTAGAGAATGAACTGTACAACTTGGGGGGTGAAAAACTTGTTTATCCTTGTTTACTTGCTTACTGTGCAACTGCACCTCTTTTATCAAACTAGGCCAAAGTCAATGGCCAGGTGTCTGCATCACCACCTGAAGATGCCCCACATGACATTTTGCACATCTTTGATTGGACGGGCCATTTGAACTAGGGTGGGTGGGAATGTTGCCATCACTTTAGATATGTGTTTTTTGCGCATAAATCCTCAGATCCGGAATCCTTTGGATGCTACCACTTCCAGTAAAAGTTTATTTTCTCTATAACAACGGAGTCTAAGAGTGTCTTTCTTGGACTTTTCATAGAGCCCCATCGGACCGTAGGAAGACAAACAGACGCTTCTGCCACCTGCAGCTCTCTCTCCCCCTGCCAACTCTCTAAAAAAAAGTGCAAAGAACAACTAAGACGATTAAAGGACGGGAGGATAAAACACGTGAGGAACGGCTGCAGGATTTGG